TAATGCGTTTGTGTTATACTCTCATAGTACAAATTAAAGAGCAACGAGGAACAATTGCAGTATAACAATCCAAATAAACCAAGTAAATTAACTAACAGCAAAAAAAAAATTCAGATCATTGCAGAAGATCAAAATAAACTAAGTTCTTAGAAATTTAGCTACCATTGGGTTAGTTTAGTTTTAATTCAGACCATAGCAGAAGCTTACAGGAACGGCAAAGCTAAACCCTAACTGAACAACAGTAAGCCAAACCTTCATGCAGTGTTACATTAAGGCTTCGTTTAGGACAATTTTCTTATTGCTTCTTAAAGTAGCTTTCTAATTAAAATTTTTATACTAAAAAAGTGCTTTAAGAAGCAGTAAGAAACCTGTCCCAAACGAAATCTTATACTTCAATGAGAGAGATTCAAAGCTCATAAGCAGGAAACCTTGACTCAGTGGGGCTGGTCATGTCGAGAAAGAGATAGGCCATGCCACGCTGCCCTTCAAACAATGACAAGGGATTATCACCACCATGCATCTGACCTGTTGAAACCAGCTGGTGAGCTCTGTCAAGAAGGAAGCAAGCAAATGCTTTCGCACGGTACAGGTACTCAGCATTGCCCGTCAACCTAAACAATGACAGAAACACATAAGCATTGCCACTAATTCCATGGCAAATCCCAACTCTCCTCAAGAGACCTCTATTCCACACAACCTCTGCGGCATCCACAGCTGCTTGGAAAAACCTCTCATCACCAAACACCTGCAGCCATTGTTGAACATCACAAAAGATGAAAAAGTATGAAGAATTGTCAGATAGGAATCACCTGAGCAGCTTTTACTAGGGTCAGGGTGATTCCAGGGGCGCCATGACACCAATGAACAAGTCTGTCGGTCTCAGAATTCTCACTGGAGGGGTAGTTGCCACTTGGAAAACGATTCTTGATCATGTAGAGGAGGGTGCCTTTAACATATTCTATCTCTTCGGCTTTCAGTTCCATATCCATCAGAACATGCATGATTCCTGCTAGACCATGAGCTGCTCCCCAGTATTTCTTGCCATGCCATTCGTACATCAGAGGGCAGCTTCCTTTATTAGATAACTTCCTTCCATCTCTAATCACTTCCTTTACTATTGAATCCTAAGTAGTTTACCGCAAAATTCTATTATTACTCAATGTATAAGTAAAGGCAGAAGTAAGAGGATGAGATAAGAGCACAACTCACTGTATAGGTGGAAGGGATTGTCCCCTCTCCAATGTGCTTGTTAAGGAAAGAACAAGCCCACAGGTATCCAGCTCTTCCATACAGAAGCTCATTAAGAACCCCAACGGGTAATGTTATCTGTTTAAAGCAGGAATGCAAAAAGGGGTAATAACAGATTTTTCAAACTTAACGTGAAATTATGAGTAACAATAACGGCTTAGATAAATGGAACCGCAAGGTATTGATTCGATAATATTGGTGTTCAAGTATTTTCTGGATTTCATAATTCAAAGCAGCTGATGTTAA